TTTGATTCCTTTTCTGGACAGCTCCCTGCTTTCCTGCTTATCCCTCTCTGAGATTGTAACTTGCTTATCTCCTTGGGAGAATTACCTTCTCTGAAAGGACAGAAGAAAAAAATCTCTGAATATACATATATAAGAGGGATTTGATCTTCAGTTCTTCAGAATCAACTTGATGTCATGAACCCTTCAATCACTTCTTCTATGACAGTTGCCATTGCTGACTTCCGCCATTGCTGACTTTTTTATCCCAGAGGTTGCTATTGCTGACTTTTTTTATCCCAGAGTTTGCCACGTGAGATTGTTCCTACTTCTGGGCTCCCTCTTCCTATTTTGGGCCTGTGAGGCCCAAATCAGCTTTGTTTGCTCTGATGAGCTTTGGGCTGGACTCTTCTGGTTTTTTGGGCTTCCATCTTTCTTTGATTTTTTGCAGCTTTATTCTGGGCCTAATTTTCGCTGGGCTGGGTGTGTCAATTTTTGGCCCAAACAAAATACAAACTCAAAAGATTGTATTTCTCTCAATGACCTAGTTGCTTCATCTAGATTATCAGTCTAGCCATCCTCAATAATCAATTTAAGCACTTTCACCACATATTTAAACATGAAGATGATACTAAGTAATGTACCATAATGTGAGTTCCAACGTGTATCACCGGGACGCTTGAGAAAAGTTTCTTGATTTAAGCCTCGCCCTGTTGGAAAAGTATCTTTTTCAAGAGCTTCCGTAATATCCTTTTGGAGTTGATCTTTAAGCATGTCACGACGCTTACACGATGCTCCAACAATATTAACCAAGCTATTACAAGATGTGAAGAAAGTGTCAATATCAGCATTTCCCTTTGTCACGGCCACAAGAGCTAATTTGAGTTGATGTGCAAAACAATGAATATAATAGGCACAAGGATTTTCTCTCAAAATCTATGTTTTAAGACCATTGAACTCACCATTCATATTACTAGCTCCATCATATCCTTGTCATTTTAGCATGGAAATGCTCAATTCCTCTCTTGAAAACAACGTGTCAATAGCCTCCTTGAGTGAGTTTGATGTAGTGTTGCTAACATGTTGAATGCCCACAAACCTCTCAATTACATCCCCATTTTTGTCCACATAACGAAACACCACCGCCATGTGTTCTTTTACTGACACATCATGTGATTCATCAACTAATAAAGATAAGAATGCACCATCCATATCCTTAATGATTTTCTTAATAGTTTCAGTGGCACAAGCATTCACAAGATCTTTTTGAATTGTTAGAGCTATTAACTTGAGATTCCCGAGAGCATTTTCTAACACAACGACTTTCACTTTCTCATCATGATCAGCAAGAAATTGTAAGAGCTCCAAATAATTCCCCTTGTTGGTTGAAGTGTCACTCTCATCATGCCCACGAAATGGAAGACCATGCCTCAACAAAAATCTCACACAATCAAGAGAAGCTGTCAAGCAAATAAGATAATCAATACGAGCTTGCTCTGATTACTTTATCAAAACTGTTCGGATGTGTTGCTTTTGATTCATAAGATCCACACAATATTGTCTAGATTGATTATGAACACTTCCAATAGCTCCAACATGTTGCCTAATTTTATCTTTCTTCTTTCAATTCCTAAAACCCATCTTTGTGAAGGCGTCACTACACCCTTGACCAATTCTGAAATTGGATTTGAAGAGATAACAATAAGGCAAAATGCATCATCTTTACTAATACTGTACTCCAACCAGTCCAACTCATCAAAACACTTGACATTAAATCGTCAATCATACCCTAAAAGATCAGTTTGTGGAAATGTGTGATCCTTAGGCTGACATGGACCCTTTTGTAGAGATACTCTTCGAACTTCGTCTCGAATGTTAGGATCGTAATCCAACATTTGAGGTCGAAGTCCAGGGTCTGCAATAAGATTAGCCAAGATATCTTGCAACTCACTTTCTTTCTAACTATCCACATCTCTTGAACTCGAACTACCCACATTATTCGAACTAGAAGTAGATGATGCAAACCTTCTCTTAAAGTAGCGTTCCATAACTGAATTGGTAGAAATAATCATTCAAGCATCAACACTAATTTATGCAAGATATAATTTGACAACTAATCAAAATAAAATCTCTACAACTAATCAAATTTAACAAAATATAATTTAACATAAACATTAATTTATTCTAACTAACTAACCAAAACCAAAACCCTTAATTTAATCAAACTAACCAAGAGATATAATCTAACATAAAAGTAAAACCCTAATTTATTCAAACTAACCAACTAAAACCAAAATCCCTAATTTATTCAAACTAAAATAAAAGAATAACCCTAATTTATTCAAACTAACAAACCAAAATAAAATCTCAACAATACACAATAACAACTAATCAAGAAAAACACAAACATATAACAATCTTTACTAATTAATTAAAGCATAAAGAAATTAGAATAGGGTGGTGCTAGAGGCATCAACTTTGGGCACCAACTCTCTAATAGAGGTGGAGCCTGCCATACACCAGGTCCCACGCTCTATTAGAGAGTTGGTGCCCAAAGTTGGTGCCTCTAGCATTTTCCATTAGAATAACATACCTTCAAATTTGAGGGACAAATCCACCTTTGAAAATTGAAATCACTTATGCAATTTGCTGCTGCGCCACTTTGTTGTCGCCACCGCCACTTTGCCAGCGTTGCCACTGGATTTGTGGGGGAAGGAAGTGAAGGTTGAGTTGGGGATTTAGGGTTGAGAGGTTTAGAGGTGAGAAGAAATGAGTTTTAACATTTGGGGAGGGGGGAATTATTAGGCAAAACATAACAGAGCAGGTTGCTGCGTTTTTTTTTATTTTTTTATATAAAAACCTATGCCAAAACGACGTCGTTTTGGCCAGGTTTTAAAAATAAAAATAAAAAGCCTTTAGTGGAACGACGTCGTTTTGACGTCGAGCGAACAAACCAAAAAAAAAAAAAAAAAGCTTTAGTGGAACGATGTTGTTTTGACGTCGAGCGAACCAAAAAAAACCAAGGCGCGCGCTGCGCACAGCTTCTTCTTCTCCCATCTGCGCACAGACACAGCTTGCCCTTTTGGGGCATTTCGTCGAACACATTGCGAGGGTCAACTTCAGTTGCTCCAATGGAGGATTTCAGAGGTTGCAGGGGTCAATTGACCACCCTTACTCTTCTGTGGATCCGGCCTTGGTGGTGGTGGGTGGCAGTGAGGAGAATATGGGGCACCGGGGTTTGGGGAAGCGTGTGGGGCGACTGGAGATGTTTTTTATATTTTATTTTAAATATATTTAGTTTATAAATTATAATATAAAGTTTTATTTATTTATTTAATATGTAGTCGAACATGTATTTATATGTTGAAATATATACAAGTTTTTACATAATGTAGGTATGTTTACATATTGAGTTTATTAAAATATTTTAAGTTATGTCTAGGTTTTTTCAACCAACACAAAAAAAAAAGAAAAAAAAAGAAAAAACAAAAAGTTATGTCGAGGTTCATTATTTTGTGTCCAAACATATAGGTATGTTATATTTTTTGTGTCTGTTTTAATAAGATTTTTATTCTTTTTCTCAATATTGCTTAGTTGTGAATGCATCAATAATTGTTCAAATCTAATTCATAATTTATCAATAGGGTCTAATCCAATAAAAAATAATACTGACTTGCAAATTAATTATCTCATGTTCGAATCCTAGGAGTTAGGACTGGGTTTAGTTCGATTACATTGACTTGCAAACTAATTGTCTCATATTCGAATCCTCGGAGTTAGACTGGGTTTGATTCAGTAATCGAACTGATGAGATAAAATTGAGCGTCGACCGAAGGTGGTCGGTATATGTAAAATTGGAACCGTCGCCAACCTGTTGGAGGGCGGTTATCGACCAATTTGGTGTTAGTCGGTAGTTCGGTTTTGAAAACATAGAAGATGAGAGAGAGATTCCCAGGAAAAGAGAAGAGAGGGAGAAAAGATTCCAGGCGTCGTCATCTTTAGAGTTAGGGTTTATATCTTCTCTTTCTTTTTCTTTTTCTTTTTTTCAATTTTGTTCGAGTATTTACATTAAATATATTAGTTATACAGTGTTTATCCAATAAGGCATGTGGTGCAGTAGTAAAAAGGCTAAACATGTTGGTCAGAGGTAAGTGGTTTGAAACCTCATGACTTCAACTTTTCACATATTTATGGCTAGTTTGGCATTACTGTGTTGTGAAAATAATCGTGGTCAGATTTGCTGTGAGAGAAATCAGCTATAAGATAAAACAATTTGGCTTTTGGTAAACTTTTTGTTAAAAGTGTTGTTGGTACTAATTCCCACATAATCATTAAACCTAGCGCCTATTTGAAACTGATTCCTGCATAATCAAAAAATGAAAGCACCTTATTAGTTATTTTCCCTTATAGCTTTCTCTCACAGCAATTTTCAACAATAAGTGATTTTCTCATAGTTTATCAAAAGAGCTGGACTTCCCAATTTTTTTTTAAAATCACTTATCACCACAAATAAATAATGCCAAATGGGTGCTTAGTCCTTTTTGCTATGTTGGTTGGGTTCGGGTTATTGTTAGTTCTTTAGGTATTCAAAATTAATTTGATAATCGATAGAGTCGGATCGGTCCAAAAAATGGCCTCGAAACTGACCAAGATCGAGACAGGTGGTTTTTCTAGCCAAAAAATTGGGTTGAATCATCCGGTTCGTCAGATGAAAATTTCAACCTTATTCATAGCACCTTCGTAGCGTGTGAGATCTAATTCATAATTCAAAATTTGAATTAATAATTAAAGATGCATTAAATTGTGAGTTTTTTTAATTGCTATATCTATTTTAAAAGGCAAAATGAGTAATAATAAAATAGGAAAATTTTGAAATAAATCTCGATGAACCATACATTTACGGATCGATTCGAACTAATTCAGCATTGGATGGAATGAATGAACAATGAATGAGTTGAACGAAAATGATCAATGAATTGAATGAAAAGTAGAAAGGACGGAAAATATGACCGTTGGGACCAGACCAGCTAACTGGGTGGGTCATATATTTCGGTATTCCCGCTGCCGCTGATGGGTGTCCTTTGTTTGTATTGCATGCAGATACAAAAAGCCAACAGAAAGGGACAAATATCAGTACACTTCTACAGTAAAATAATACAAAAATTACAAGACAATTGCAACAAAAACAACGTCGTCTGCAGTGACTGCACAAAAGCAAAAGCAATCAGCTTATTTCTATTTGATTTCACAACGGTACCCAACAGCAACAGAAGAAAGAAAGATTCATTTAATTTCCAAAAAGAAAAAAAACAAGAAGATGACTTCCAGGTCCTTCGGCTCCTCCTCATTAACTTGGACTACCAACGCCTCCTGCTTGTTTTTACCGTCAACTTTGCTCATCATCATGACTGCTATCAGATGATTCCTTGACCGTTCGATTTGCTTGTATTATTGCCACGTGATTTGTGGGCCCCCCTCAGTGATCCGTCAGAGTTCCCGAATTATATCACATATTCCCCTGCAACTTTAATCCATTCTTTGCTTCACTTTACTTCTTCACTTGGGTTTCTTTTGTTTCCATTCTAATACTCATCTCTCTCTCTCTCTCTCTCTCTCTCTCTCTCTCTCTCTCTCCATTGTTGGGTTTGGGGTTGCTTCAGATTCTTGAATGGGTTTTCTGGGTAGTAAAGCTACGGCTGGGCGGCTTCTGCTTCTACTTATAGCAGTTTCAGCTGCTACAGCTGATGAAGGTTGGATCTTTATTTGCTATTTTACTTTGCCGTGGTGTCTTTGAATGTGTTTGAGTTTTATTTGAAGGATTGGCCTCCACATTTCTCAGCATTGTTGGTTTTTTTATGTGACAATTTACTTGTTTGATGTTAATATTTAGAGTTCATGAATCTATGATGCTGATGTTTATCAAATTTATCTTCATATGTTCTGCCGGAGGCATTCTTTCACTTCCTCCCTCAAAACCCACATGAGTTTCTGTTCTTACAGGGGAAATTTAGTGATGTTCCAGAGGCAAAAAGAAGAACACAGTAATTTTAAAATCTCCCTCTTACAGGAAGAGAATCTGAGAGAGGAAAGTTAGGGTGCGAAGTGTCCTGTTGCATTTTGTTTTGTGTATGAGTTTGCTCTGCTTCACTTTGGCAGTGACAATGCTCCTGATACTGTAGATAATCTTCCAACAACAGTCCTTGCACTATTTAATATGCCTAAATGTACTGAAGTTGCATTTTCACCATCTCATTCATATTTGCAGTTGTTTTCAAATAAAAATCAAAGGCACATATGAGATTGTGCACATGAAGCTGAAGTTGTGCCATCTTCAGATACAGTAGTGTATTATAATAATAATATAACATATCCATTGTCTTCCAGCTCATGGGGTAGTTTTTGTTACCCTTTTTACCTTGGGTTTAGCGCAAATGGTCAAAGTTTACAGAATTTGGGCGCTTCTGCTTAGAACTTTGTGGATTATGGAGACATACCCTGCTGTATTCAGTTACTCCATATTATATATCATATGTCCATAAGTATTGCTTCCTAAGTCTAGTGCCTGCTTGGATTAGTTAAGTGACCCCTTGGAACAATGGTCTACCTAGTTTTTCTCAATAAAGCTAACCAAAATGCACCCAGTCAATTTGCTTCGTTTTCTTTTGTTCCTCACAAGGCTCCCATTTTATTGCAGAACACTTTATGTCTCTTATGACACAGGGAAAACACTTGAAACATGCCACAGCAATATTTGTAGGGACTGAGTGGAATGAACAAACGGTGTTAAATTGTTACTTCACTTTGAGTTTATAAGGGACTCAAAGGGTTAAATTGTGCCTTAACATTGTATACTCTAAAGTGAATCAGTAATTCAAATTTATTTTTCTTTGTGTATTCTTAATGTACCAGTACTTTTTCTTTTCCATGTATAGTAAGAACGGGTAATTTATGAATTTTCACCCTGTTTCAAAATTTTGTATTACTAAGAGAAACAAAAGATAAAACTAGATGTATGACATAGTCATCTTTTGATTTTTATAAAGTGAACAGATAACGTTGTTATTGTTTATCGTGTGGACACCATTTAACAGATTTTTAGTCTCCTATCACCATGATCAGATTATCATTTGGCGGTTTAATTAGAAATGCTAGATTCATGTCATGTAAATCTTTGTCTTGGTGAGCTTTGAAGAGTAGATGTCAAGTTACGGTCTCCTATTTGATTCATTCTAGTAGTGCACTCCATGATCATAATAAAGGCTTGAGAATCTTGATTTTTTTCTTTTGGCATTATGATGTTTTATTTGATTCATTCCAGTCGTGCACTCCATGATCATATAAAGGTTTGATAATCTTAAATTTTTTTGGCATTATATCAACCTAAATGGGATGTTTACTTTCTTTATTGTACAATTTGTTCAGTGACTTATGCTACTTAATCACCTCAATTAGGTCCACTACTACTTTGGGTGATTATGATGTTCACTACTACAGTTTTAATATGTGAGGGCAGGAAATTGGCAGGTTCTAGTGGATTTTATATTATCCAATCTTAGTCACAAAAAAAAAAATGCATATACTTGATAAAACAAATTTCTATATAGTCATTCAGTTAAAACAGTCTTGAGTTCTTATACAGGTGTGACTTGTACTGGCATATACTTGGTCAATGGCTGTGTCATTTTGACATTTGGTTGTGTAGTTCTTGAAGATAATCTTCACAAACCAACCCAAACTTTCACCAAAGAATCTCTTCTCCTTCTCTATTAGGCTTAGGCCTATTTTCGAAACTTTTGGAAATCGTGAGTATTTGGTTCTCAAGAGTACTAAAGCTTTCAATAGTGTCTAGGTTAAAATTTAACTAAGATTTGAAAAGAAGTTGAAGTTGAAGTTGTTCTGCTAGATGCTGCTTTCATTTCCTTCCATGTGTGTGTTATTACTTGAAACTTGAACTTAGATTTATGTTTTAGATTTATAACAAATCAATTACCGTGACTTCATTTTTGCAGATGTATTTATTGGCGTGAACATAGGAACAGATCTGTCAGACATGCCACACCCAACACAAGTAGTAGCCCTACTAAAAGCTCAGCAAATTCGACATGTCCGGTTATATGATGCTGACCGTGCCATGCTAGTTGCACTTGCAAATACTGGCATTCAAGTTATGATTTCTGTTCCTAATGAACAAATCCTTGGAATTGGTCAATCTAATTCCACTGCAGCCAATTGGGTATCTCAGAATGTGGTAGCACATTACCCAGCCACAAACATCACAGCCATAGCTGTTGGGTCGGACGTTCTTACCACCCTCCCAAATGCTGCAAAAATTCTTGTCAATGCTCTCAAGTACATTCAATCAGCCCTTGTGGCATCCAATCTTGACCGCCAAATCAAAGTTTCAACTCCTCTTTCTTCCTCCATTATCCTTGATTCCTTCCCACCTTCCCAAGCCTTCTTTAACCGTTCATTGAATCCAGTTTTGGTCCCCATGCTTACTTTCTTGCAGTCCACAGGATCATTTCTCATGCTCAATATATACCCATACTACGATTACATGCAATCAAATGGTGTCATTCCATTAGATTATTCACTCTTCAAGTCCCTCCCTCCAAACAAAGAAGCTGTTGATTCCAATACACTTCTTCATTACACTAATGTTTTTGATGCTGTGGTTGATGCAGCATATTATGCCATGGCTTTTCTTAACTTCACTAACGTTCCAATAATAGTGACAGAATCAGGCTGGCCTTCCAAAGGTGATTCTAATGAGCCAGATGCAACATTAGAAAATGCCAACACATACAACAGCAATTTAATAAGGCATGTCCTGAACAAAACTGGAACTCCCAAACATCCTGGACTTGCTGTTAGTACTTTCATTTATGAACTCTATAACGAGGATATGAAACCTGGACCCATCTCAGAGAAGAACTGGGGATTGTTTGATGCAAATGGGACACCTATCTACATTTTGCGTTTGACAGGTTCAGGAGCAGTATTATCAAATGATACTACAAACCAAACTTTCTGTATTACAAAGGATGGTGCTGATCCAAAGATGCTTCAGGCTGCACTAGATTGGGCTTGTGGACCTGGCAAGGTGGATTGCTCAGCTTTATTGCAGGGAGAACCATGCTACGAACCTGATAATGTGATTGCACATGCAACATATGCGTTTGATACTTACTATCATAAGATGGGGAAGACTCCGGCAGCTTGCGATTTCAATGGAGTGGCTGCAATTACCACAACAGATCCAAGTAAGACTTCAACTGTACAGCGTGCAACATTCTCTGAGTTGTAGGTTCTATTTCAATTTATTAAAAACTATTATCAGTTATGCATCAATGTTAACAATTCTGTTCTAATTATGCAGGCCATGGATCCTGCATATTTCCTGGAAGGTAAAATTCTGCTTATTTACTACACTTAGCTAGATGAGCAATTAACTTTGTTTTTTGGTGGTACAAAACAATTATGGCACCATTTGAATCTTGATTATTATTATTTTGTGCTCGCAGTCTCGGCAAGAATGGCACCTTGGTAAATATCACAGCTCCATCATTGAATTCCACAAGTGTAGATTCTTCCGCCTACAACCTTCACAGCAATGCTTTTACTAGCATTGTACTGATAATTGAAATTTTCATCAGCGTTGCAGTTTTCTTGTAGGCAGGTTGGTATGTATATGTGGGTCTGGGAAGCTTTCAGAAATTTTGAGATAGATGGTGCTCAGAGGGTGTGTTTCCCTTTACTAGGAGAAAAAGGGTCTACTTAGCAGGTAGTTTTAGGGATTTGGTTGACTCAATTTTGTAAAAAACAAAGCCGAATGGCCTGAGCTTCAACTATTAATTCATATTCTTTTAATTTGAAAGTTCTTTTGAAGTTCTACATTGTACATTCCTCAGCTGGATTAGATGTTTGACCCAAATTGCTTCTTGCTGCAAGAATTGGTTTTCCACTAGAATCTTGTATTATAAACTCCACTAAAGCATGATCTTTGTTACTGGTATGGTCATTGGTGCTTCAAATGTCCGCAGTAAAGATTTTTCATTGTTCGACTAAGTGGTTAGAGAATGCCGGAGGAAGCAGCAGGTAGGCCATTCTAGGCTTCATGTAAACATCCCACCTTTTTTTTTTTTGGGTGCTTTGGAGGCCATGACAAGTAGTTTTTGGATGTTTTGGAGCAAGTTGGTAATATAAGGGGTATTTGGAAGCAGTAATCTGGATAGATTTGGGATGAATATGAAGTCAAATTAATATCTATAGCCGGCTTGTTTCACTCACGTTTTCTAAGTAGCTGATGAAGATAACATGAAATTTTTAGGAACAAGAAGCAATGCCTTGGGTTGGGGAACTTTACAATAACGAACAAACTACTCTGAATACAATATCACTAATATTCACGAGGAACAAAGGTTTTTATTTATTTGAGCTTGACCAACTCAAGATAAAGTATCTTCTAATTATGACCCCTTGTTATAATTGACACAAATAAAACACATTTTGATTAAAATTACAAAGGTGCATAGTCGGGAATGTGAATTTGTTTGGTTTTGTGGCTACACTTATAATGAATTCCTTGTTCGGTACATGTCGTTTGAATGAATCAAGACTATTTATAGCTCATTGAAATTTATTTGGTATATTTTTTTAATGGTGGAGATTTGGATGCAAAAGTTGTGGTGTTGGGGGCTGCGGTATTAGTAAAAGACAGAGCTTTATTTTGTTACCTCTTTAAAGTACTAATTTTATCGAAAGTTCAGATTGATTCATTTGCAAGTTTGCGAATTGAAAAGAGAACTTCTGGTTACATGGGCTTCTGGTTGTTGGATTGGGGATTTAGTTATTGTTTGAGTTGTGCGTGATTCTCTTTAGATCAATTCAATATATTGTTGTGTTTGATAACTAGAAAAGATTTACCCATATTTGACATATAATTACTTTATACTTCTGTTATAATAGTATATATCGCTTATTTTCCAAAAAAGAAAAGAAAGAAAAGAAAAGAGAACTTCTAACAAGTTCACGGAGCATTCATGATATATAAGTTATAAAATAAATTTTTATTGGGTAATTTATCACTTGTATTAAAAAAAGAATTTTGTTTAATGTTGAAAATTAGATGTTTATTCTAACCCCAAAAAATATATGTTTATGACCATGACACTCCAAAAAAATTTCAGTTGATCGCAGCCGTTCAGTTGTACAAAGAGACCTCCCAGTCGTCCTTTCCATCCATCCGAACCATTTTTATTCTAATCGCTAGGGTTTCTCTTCTCTGCCGAAACCAAACTAGGGTTTACAGCCACTCTGAGCAAATCTCTCTCGGACTCTTGATTCCGCTTGAGGTAAATCCAGTAACCAATCCGTTTTTATTTTATCACCTTCAAATTATTTCTCTGTTTCCAGAGAAAGTGCAGGAATTTTTTTATTTTATTTCTTCCTCTGCACCGAAAGAAATACCGAAGTTTGAGTTCTTTAGCAATCGTACGGGATGATATATTGTTAGAAACCATGATTGGAAAATGAATGTTGGTTTTTGTGAAATTTAATTTAGAATAAATTTTAGGTTGGGGCTTTTGGCGTTGTTTCTGTAAATTGTGTTAATTGCTTTGTTTTCTTTCCGGGAAAATGTGATAAACCAACTGGCGTTGTCTTTGTTTGTGATTGAGATTTTGAAGGAGCTAAGCTCTTTGCTATTGCTTATACTGATACTGAGACTGAAATAATAAGTTAACCAGGGCTCATATTTTGTTATTCTGCTGACTTTGGAATTGATTTTAAAATTGATTCAGTTGGGTATGGGTTTTGAAAATGATTATATTGTTTACTCAAGAGTGGTTAACCTACATTGTATTCTCGACTTTTTCATGTCTTTAAAAAAGTTGTAATTATGTTTCATTCCTATTGTTTAGTCAGATTTGTCAAGATGTATACGTCAAGGAAGAAGATTCACAAGGACAAGGATGCTGAACCTACTGAATTTGAAGAGTCAGTTGGACAGGTAAGATAAGCAGCTTTTTATTGCGCTTTCTATTGATGAAATTGTTGCTATGATGTTTAGATATAATCATGAGTTGTTTGTTGTCTGTGCAGGCAATCTTTGATTTGGAAGCAAACTCGGACCTGAAAAGTGAACTGAAGGATCTATATATAAATTCAGCTGTGTAAGAACTGTTTACTGAATGACTATTTATTGTAAACTGTTGCTGATTGTATGATTAACATTCCTCCTTTCTCCAGTCAAGTTGATGTGGCTGGGAACCGGAAGGCGGTTGTTATCCACATACCATATAGACTTAGGAACGCTTATCGCAAGATCCATGTTCGGATTGTGAGGGAGCTAGAGAAGAAATTCAGTGGAAAGGTGATTATTTAAGTTCTTTGGTTCTCTGCCATTTATGAAATCTAGATTTAACCCGGACTAGGTGTTCTAAGTGACGTTTTTCTGTACTAGTTTCTAGGCACTACATTTTGTGCCTTACAATCAAGGATATTTTATTTTTATCTTTTAGTTCCTAGTTCTGATCTTCCTAGCTGACCTTTCTTATAGTCAACCCATTTTATTTTTTCTTCTCTGATTTCATTTTTGCTATAATTAAAGTGAGTGGATCTCTGATTCAGACATGTATTTATTTTCAAATAGTGGTTTTCTTTGGTGGTGTTTATTTTTGTTTGTCATGTGGTAGGATGTAGTTCTGATCGCCACACGGAGGATAGTGAGGCCTCCGAAGAAAGGGTCTGCTGTCCAACGGCCCCGCACTCGTACTCTAACTGCTGTGCATGAGGCAATGTTGGAGGATGTGGTTTTGCCTGCTGAGATTGTTGGGAAACGAACTAGATATCGACTTGATGGGTCCAAGATAATGAAGGTGAGCTGTCGAAGGAAAAAATATATTGTTTGATATATAGACACACACACACACACACACACACAAACACTTGGAAATGGAAAAAAAGGGGTTGATTAATGCTTGAAAGATGAAGGCTAAGAACCTTATACCAAAGAGAAGATTTTGTTACAAAGATGTCCAAAGCCTGCCAATGGAATAGATGAATCGAGAACGTAGTACATTTAGGTGGGATGGATATTATAATGGATTTATTATAAAAGTACATGCATGGTGAGGGGTAGGATTTTGTTTGTTAAGTACCATAATTATCTATCTTCAATGCTGGGCAGGTTTTCTTGGATCCTAAGGAACGAAACAACACGGAGTACAAGCTGGAGAGCTTTTCAGCAGTTTACAGGAAGCTTTCAGGAAAAGATGTTGTGTTTGAGTACCCAATAACTGATGCATAGAAATATTGTGCGATGGTGCCTTCCAAATACCTGCCCCTTGTCTTTATATTTTCTAAGATTTTCTGCTCATTAGGCAGTCAATTCAAAATTTTGATGTTGAGGGCGTGGTGTGGGGTGCCTTTGGAAGGATTTTGGTCTCTTCAATATTAGCACATTTAAGTTGGGTGATATCAGTTAATGTAGCATTTTTTGTTTTCTCTTAGACTTGCTTCTTTTCATTATGGTCATTGACAAGTTTGCTTCTAGTCTGGTGATTTTGTTTTGTTTATTTTAGTCTATTGACAATTTTTATCAATAAAAATGCACTGGAAACTAAAGAAGTTTCTATGAACTAGTTACGGTTCTTTGTAATACAACCTCAGTATGTTTGATTCAGCGTATTGTGCCATGTCTTTTCTTCACTAACATGCAAAAGTTTTGGTTACAATCTCTCAAGAAATATTGTAAAAGAGCAGGGTACTGGAAGAAATACCAAGATTTATGAATTTGATTACAATTTATTGAATTGCACAAATCAGAGTAAGCAATTCCCAATCACTAGGTGCACGCACCAAATGCAACTGAACACAGCAGGAAAAAACAAAATTAACAAAAGAGGTAACAGATGAAGTCCCCATTTGCAACCAGCACAATAGCAGAGTTGAGAGACAACCAAATCCCTAAAGCCAAAAGTAGAGACTAGAGAGCTATATAGGCGTCGCAACACAAGCATAACACAACAGGAATTGGAATGCCTGAATGCCAACACAAATCACGCAACCATTTCCAAATTCTTAGGCCTGTGCCTTGAGGCCGCCGCTTGCAAGCTTGTGTCAAACAATTAACATTGATCAGATCGGCAATGGCGCGCAAGGGCAGGAACAGCTGGGTGAGGGTGGGGTAGAGAGAACTGTCAGAACGAGTAAAAACGTATTTATCAAATGGTATCCACTACATACTTATTTAATGGTACCAGTATATACTTACAGTGAAACTAATTAGGAATTGATGTGGTGGAAACTATGGAATATGGAGTCTTGCAGCATTAATTTGTATGGGCAATCAGCTGCTTCCTCCCTCCCTGGAAATATATTGTTGAGCATTACAACGAAACATACGACCATACAGTTTATTAATATGAATGACAACTTATACCGTATCATTGCCATCATCTTCTTTTTTTTCTTCTACTTCCTCTGTTATTTGTTGTCTTTCTGGTCTTGAACCACTTTGGATCAATAACCCATCAGGGGAAATCTTCAACTCAATCAGGCATTCCTCGATGATTAAAGAGTTTAAGGATGGGACTCTGACAATGCAATTTCCTGATGAGCAGAAGTCTCGCAAACTTGGTAGATAATAAAGTTTCAAATGTTGCAAGCAGCTGAAAGCAATCTCGTAATAATTTCCTGAATCTTCATCTTCGTTGCTTGCCACTATCTCTATCATGCTTTCACAATTCTCAACTTCCAAGCTTTTGAGTTGGTGTAAACATTTAGCCACCGAATAAGTTGTTAAGTATTTCAGTCCCTCACAATTTACTACGTGTAAAGTGGTTAGATTCCGAAATGATATTGTGGATAAAGTTAGATTCTTTAATCTTGCACAGCTGTACACCTTCAGAATTTCCAAGTTTGGGAAAATTGATTCGGAGTTGTCATTCCCTAGATGCATTAGCTCCTGCATCCTGCTGAGAATCAAATTCTTTATGTGTGGGAAGGTCGTCCCAACTGCATCTACTTCCCCACTACTAGTTCCTTCATACACAGATATTTCTTTCCAAGGACCATTATAAACATAGAGCGCTTCAAGATTATGTAATTTCTCAAGGAAATGAAATGACTGGGGGTGTGCACAAGAAAATGCAATCTCTTTTAGATTGATAAACAACTCTGCTGGGAGTGGACCATGCGCTTCATACCAAATCTTCGTGTTCTCGTCCAAGTGCAATACTTCCAAGTTGGGGAATGGATTACCCTGAAATATTATCAAGATATCATTATCAACTCACTTACTTCAATAGAATAATATCAGTCACTACCCTCGAGAAAAGGGCGGGACGACTTACTTGGTCAGTTGCATAACTAAATACTATACTCATCTAAATTATTTTAACTTTCAAAAGCCCTTTTTCTTTATTTAAATTTTCGAGTCTTTATTTTGTTGTATACATGTCTTATGTTAGTAACTTACTACTCCTTTTAACCTCCTCAACTATTGTTTTCATTCAACAGATGTGCTTTAAAGTTTTTGACATGGTGGAGGTCGAAAATTCATTTTAATAAAAGAAAAATATCTAATACTTAAAAATAATAAAAATTGCAAAGAAAATATCTTAAGAAGAATTTAGCTACAAGAGCAAATTGTGCAAGAGAATTTTGTACCTTGTCAACTAACAAGAAAGGTTGTTTGATTGATGTACAAAAAAGGCCCGAATAAAGTCTTTCTTGGAATCTTGAATATTCGGATGCAAAAATCTCCACTTTACCACATTCAAAGAATACCAATGTTTTGAGTGATGGCCACTTGGAAACATGCAGCCCCGGATAGAAACTCCTCAATTGGGGCAGATATAGAAATTGCACAAGTGTTACTTTAGAGAACACAAACTCAGGTGTCGTTTCTACTCCTTTGGCAACAATTTCCTCCAATATTCCACATTTGCGCACAATCAACTCCCTTAACTGCTGAAGACCTTTGGCCACTGAGGCTGGAAAGATATTTTTCAAACTCTCACACGAATCCATCACCACATAATCCATATTTGGGCACTCAAAAGTTTTCAATTGAGTAGTTGATGTGTCATATGTTTGTTCAAACACCACTTGTAGTGACTTGCATTGTTCTATTTTTAAAGTGTCTAAAGCATTCAATCTTCCCATCATACTTGGCGCGAAGATATTTGTTAGACTGTGGCATCTCAAAACTTCAACTTTTTTGACCTTTTGAAAAGAGTTTGGGGCAAGTTGGCGGTGCCATATAGTCCTCAACTTAGGCATGTCATAGATCATCAAGCTCTCCAAACTAGGAAATCCTACCTGTAGATAGGGCAAATTCATCATATGAACCTTTTTCTTTCACGTTAATTGGAAACAAATTTTGAAATGAAAAGAAATAAAGGTATATATAATTCACCTTTTCATCCAAAAGACAGTATTGTACATCAGTCTCTTCAGTTTGTTTACGTACTGTAACGTTTTCACACTTCGAATGAAAGATGAATACCCCTAGTTCACCACAATCTTCTAGATGCAACAGCTCTAAGGATGGAAATTCCACATAACTTCCTGAGCAGAATCTGGTGAGGCTTGGAAGATGTTGCAGCTGTAGATGTTTCAGCTTGGGAAATATGTTATCTGTATTTTCCTCACTGCTACCAATTTTTGTTAATATCTCTTCCATGATTTGACAACTAGCTATCTCAAGATGTGTGAGTTGGACAAGACTTGTAGCCATGGAAAATGAAAACAAGAATCTTAAACCATCACATTGATGCAAGATCAAGTGTGTTAAGTTGGGCATCAGAACCTGTGTATAGTAAAAAATTCACATTTAATTAGGAAATGACAATTTACATGCTGATCAGTTATATAGAATCCACAATAAGTAGACAAAAAGTAAAGGTCTAATATGACATAACTAGTAACTAGTAACTTATTAGCTTACTATGTCCTTAAACTTCCATTAATAGAATGTTGTATAAAAATGTGGGAACTTAATAGCATTTTCCGAGAAAAAGTGGAGTATAAAAATGTATTTGAAAAAGAAAAAGTTGGCCTCAAAGTTTATTGAAGATCATATTTCATTATAAATAGACTTTCAAGAATGCATCATTATAAATAGACTTTCAAGAATGCATCATGCTTTCGTCATAATATGAATCATTGAATATTGTACACTAATTAAAAGCGAATACCTTTTCTTTCTCAATCTAAAACTAATAAATTAATAAACTGTTTAAATGAATTGTAACTTGGATTTAATTTCAATCCTAGTACTACATAATCCCTGCATAAAGAATATGCATTATTTAAATGGATTACGTTCTACCTGCAGAAAGAATGACCAAAATGAAAAATATACAAAAGCAACTTTATTTGTTCAGAAATAAATATAGAACAAATCGTACCTTCCCATTCATGAAAAGTTTCGTGGGTCCACCAATTTCATTCTCCAAAATGATTTCTTCGGCCTCTGTACTTACAACTGACGTGCTGCCTTTGGAGGAGAAACCAATAAGCTTTGGCAGATTCCGCAAAGTCAAAGATCGTAACTCTTGAAAAGGCTGAGGTATGAGGTTGTCACGAGATAGTGACTCCAAGATGGGGAAGGCATGCCTCGAGTTAATGACAGCTGTAACTTCATCATTGTTTTGGACATGGAGATTCTTCAGTTGTTTACCACTGTCACTTTCTAATATATAGGAAATAATATTTGCAGCCTCCATCCCATCCAAGTCCAAATCTTCACATCTCTTTAGCAGCAATTTTATACCTTCATCGAATTGACTGTTCGTAGTGAGCTTGAGTTTTAACATGTTAGAGGACGTTTCGTCAATATCAGGAAATAGCCAACAATCACCAATAAGTATGGTGTATCTTTCTAACCTTATATCCAAGAACATGTTTGCTGGAAGAAGCTTAGCATCTGGAATATGTATCTCTAATGCAGTTAGTTGACGCAATTGTTTCAGCTCTGACACGCTCGCATTATTTCTTCCATCATTTAAATCTCCTTCCCATTCCTTAAAGCTTCCCATTCTCAAGTCTTCTAGACTTGTCAAGCTTGATATAACGCCAGGTGAGATCAGTACAAGTGCAGAGCAACCAGTCAAATCCAACAATTGTAGACGAGTCAATTGCCCTATTTCTTTGGGCAACTCTTTCACCTTAGATTTTAAAAGGCTAAGAATTTTCAAGTTTGTTAGCTGTCCAACTAGAGCTATGTGCCCCAACACGCACTGATCTAAACACAAAGTTTGAAGATTTGTTAGGAATTGAAGAGATGGAGGTGGTGATGGAATACACAGTCCGGTTACATCCAACACTTTGAGTTCCTTCATCTCTTCAAAAAAGTTGCTAGGGATTTCAAGCGAGTAGTCTCTCTCACGACTCCCCAAGAGAAAAAAATTCAGTTTTGGGCATTCCCAAGGTACTTCGGGAAGCTTGGGGATAGTACAGCGTCGGAGAGAGATTAGAGAGCAGTCTTTACTTGGACTTTCATCCAACTCTGTATAATAATCTCTTGAGAAGACATGTTGATCTCTAGATGCAATTCGGACAGCAACATCTCGCACAACATCATGCATTCTAACAATTCCATCGTCATAACCATCAAGCAACAGACAAGAATCTTTTAGTTTTTTAACCAACGACAGCAATGCATTCCGTGCCTCATCCACTGTGCGAACATTTTTAAACAAACTCAAACCTATAGTATATTTCAACAAGTCAGAGAGAAAGCAACCATTGTTACTTTGTGCCATTATTCCACATAGCAAGAACAACGGCCTAAGCTCCTTGCTATCCAATTGATTGTAACTCCACTCTATTATGAAGAATGCTTTATATGTGAATTCTTTTTGCTCAAAATTTTTGAAGCGCCTCAAGGTATCTTTCCATTCTTCTAAAGAACTCTCTCTTAAACCTCTTGCAACTGCAACAACTAAAATAGGCAAACCTCCGCATTTTTTTGCCAATTCGTTTGCTACTCTCTGTATACGGTCATCTTTAATAACAGCACCTGCCCTCTTCTCAAACAAACTCATACTTTCTTGTTCACATAAAAGGTCAAGCGGAAAATTCTTTTGCGTACCCATCTCAGAAAATAAAACTTCCTTATCTCTAGATGTCAACAATAAATTACAAGTCCGGACATGGACAAGTCCCACAGCCTCCAAATCAATTCTTCTCGAAACATCATCTAAAATTACAAGAGTGTTCTTGTCTTTTATCCTGCGCCATAAACAATTTGCCCTTACTGCCATACTTTGAGGTTCCTTCACTTCCATGCCTAACTTTTCAGCAATTTCTTTTTGAATTTCCATGTCGTTTTTTCCTTTTACATCAAGTATTATAACCACATCATCAAATAACTTTTCTTTATTAGCTTGTCTGAAAACTTCTTTGGCGAGTGTTGTCTTTCCAACACCCCCCAATCCGTACACCCCAATCATGTTGGTATCAGAATTTTTCAGTTCCTCCATGATTTGCTTCAGCATTGAAGTCCTTGATTCAAAGGCCGTGTATTCTTGAGAGGGTATGGCACATATATCTTCTACTGGAGCTTCGTAAGAAACACTGGGAAACTCTTCTTTTGCATGTAGCTCAATCTTTTTTGCCAATTTTGCTGATTTCCTGCTAAACTGATGATACGAAACCAGATTAGGACATACTCCACGGAAACACTTTGTCTTTGCTTGGCCTTCATTTCCCAAAATCTTTTCTGCCTCTTGAGTGATCCCATCTGCTTCTTTTCTCCAGTTCTGGACATCAGTTTCTACTCCTTTACCATTTCTTTCAACTTCATCAACCCTATGCTTCATCCGGTCTTTGGCAGCATCTAAGTTCTTCAATTGGCTCCTCAGACTTTCAAGGTTGCTTTTGTAGTTAATTAGATAACCCATTTGCCTCCCAACTGGTTCAACTGCGTACTCAATTATTTTAGAAATAATTCCGGTGAAGATCTCCATGGTTCTTTTTGCTTTGCTTTGGAATGAGACTCTTGTATCTGTTGAATAAAAGAACCCAAAAACAAGAAAATGAAAAAGTGTAAAAGAAAGAATATTAAACCAATTGAAATTAAGAAAGGAAACTAAGGGGCATACCTTAGCTTGTGAGACTAAGCTTAAATAGAAGAACACAGAGTATCAGTATGCAACACTTTTCCTTTCGTTTTTGCAGGAAGCTTTTTCTGGAAACAACTGTAAAGTGAAAGTGTAATAAATATAAGTGAAACAAAATGCACGACTCTCAAATCTCGAAATAAAAAGAATAGGTGGGCCACAGTTTTCCTTTAATTTTTTGTTTTAGTAATGTTTTAATTTTTGTAACTTTTTTAAATTTCTTTAATCGAAGGGACAAATTTCTAAAGGAAAAAAATTAGTTGGATTTAATTCTGAAATATTTATTAATTAGGTTCAAATAAAGCTACCCATAACAAAAATAAGAACATAAAATAGCAGAGCAAATATATGAAAAAAAAAAAACAAATAAGGAAATAAAAAGACGCACCTTATACCTTAAACGAAAAAAATTAGTTGGATTTACTTCTGAAATAAAATAAAGCTACCCATGACAAAAATAAGAACATAAAATAGCAGAGGAAAATGAGAAAAACAAAGGAGGACATAAAAAACACACCTTATACCTCTCTCGTTTCTTTTGGTTACGAATGAGATCAGTTCCCTTCAAATGAGACAAAGCTGAACTGCCACTACTTTTTTTTTTTTTTTCTTTGAAAGGAAAAGCAAACGAAAGTGATAGTAACAAAACGAAATCGAGGGTGTGATGAAAACCAGAATATCTGAAGGCAGTAATTTTTTGTTTTTATTTTTTTGATTGGATTTTTAATTAGGAAAGTAAAGAAGTATATCTAAGCAAAAGCTGGTTGCTGCAGCCTGCAATGAAAAAACTGAAGGTTTCTCCTGCAATGAAGAAACTAAAGGTTGTTGACTGAAAGGGCATGCGAAGGAGACGCTTAATCAGTGAGGGTGGTAGTAAATGAAGACACAGGAGCTATTATTTCAAAACAAAGGCACTCAATTATTGTTTTTCCATCAACCAAACCCAAACTTAATCAGTGGTCGCATATAAAACGAGATGTGTATGTACAAAAGGCGCCGGAAATATAGAAAAAATATGGAAATTTCCATCTGCTGAGCACCACGAGAGAGAAAATACGAGTGAGGAGAGGGAATTGGTGCTTTAATCATAAAAACCAAAAGTTAGACGCCCAATGAACACAGAGTGCGCCTGTGGCATCAGCGCACTAACCACTTGGTCTCCAAAAATCCAAACGTCTATATGATAAACGGTAGTGCTTCTCTCTCCGTTCAAAATCAACGGTTCAGATCTCGGGCAATTGAAATGCACTCATTCGCAAAATCACAATTCCACCATCACTACCAGTTCTTGTTGGATAAAAATCATTTCTTTTCTGAATTTAAAATTTTAAAAGTTATCATTGATAACCATGGTGGAAAGAAAGTATTTCAGATCTAGGTTTAGAGAGAGAAATGAATGAAAGGTAAAGCTCTGTATATTTATCAGAAGTGTTTTCTTACATGATAATGAAATGAACTAATCACAAGCTTATATAGCTGTGTAACAATGACTCCTTCACTAATCTGAGCTTAACAGAATAACTAATTAGACTAACAAGAGTAACTAATCAGATTAACAAACACGTGAAGAGCTAACAGACTTGCCACCTCAACAAGTACACGTGTCAGCACATCATACTGTTATCATCCCCCCTCAATCTCAGCTGGGGGTGAGCTAAGACTGAGATTGCCACAGTGTTTGACAAACAGGGGACTATGAAGACCCTTGGTAAGAATATCAGCCACTTGCTCATCAGTAGAAACATATTGAACAATGAGATCTTTGTTTTGAACTTTCTCCCGAATGAAGTGGAAATCGATATCCATATGCTTGATACGAGAATGAAGTACCGGATTAGCACTTAGTGCTAAAGCAGACAAGTTATCACTGTGTAAAATTGGAGCTTCAGGAATAACCATATGTAAATCGCATAACAGCTGTCTAATCCATGAAACCTCTGCAGCACAATGAGCAAGAGCTCGATATTCAGCCTCTGTGGAGCTTCGGGAAACTGAAGCTTGCTTTTTAGAAGCCCAAGAGATTGGATTATGGCCAAGAAAAACTGCATAACCAGTGGTGGATCGACAAGTGTTTGGGTCACCAGCCCAGTCGGCATCACAATAGCCGGAGAGAAGCATAGTGCCAGGAGATAAAACGATCCCATGCTGCAGAGTACCTTGCAGATACCGAAGAATTCTTTTGACAAAACCAAAATGAACATCAGTGGGATTATGCATGAACTGACAGACGGTATTAACTGCAAAGGCTATGTCTAGACGAGTGAAGGTTAAATATTGTAGGGCCCCGACAATACTGCGATACAATGTAGGATCACTAAGAGCAAGACCATCAGTTGTTAAAGCTTGCTGATGAGGTTTTGTCGGCATCACAATAGCCGGAGAGAAGCATAGTGCCAGGAGATAAAACGATCCCATGCTGCAGAGTACCTTGCAGATACCGAAGAATTCTTTTGACAAAACCAAAATGAACATCAGTGGGATTATGCATGAACTGACAGACGGTATTAACTGCAAAGGCTATGTCTGGACGAGTGAAGGTTAAATATTGTAGGGCCCCGACAATACTGCGATACAATGTAGGATCACTAAGAGCAAGACCATCAGTTGTCAAAGCTTGCTGATGAGGTTTGGAGGGTGTACTACAAGGTTTACACGTATCCATGGCAGCCTTCTTGATTAAATCCTTAGCATACTTAGCTTGATTGACAAACATATTGCCATTAGCCTGATAGTGAATCTCAAGACCAAGAAAATATTTCAGCTGACCCATATCCTTGAGTTCGAATACTTCCCCAAGATCACGAATAACAGAGTTGACAAGGGCAGGATTAGATCCTGTGAGGATGATGTCATCAACGTACAATAAAAGAATAAGAATATCAGAAGAAGTTTTCTTGATAAAAAGGCTTGGATCAGAAGGAGACACTGTGAACCCCAGAGTAGGTAAATATCCTGTAAATTTGGCATTCCATGCACGAGGAGCTTGTTTTAAGCCATATAGGGACTTCTGAAGTTTACAGATAAAATCAGGATATGTAGGATCAACAAAGCCTTGAGGCTGCTTCATGAAGACTTCTTCTTAGAGCTCGCCATGAAGAAATGCGTTCTTAACATCTAGTTGACGTAATTTCCATTGAAATTGAACTGCCAGACCCAAAATCAAACGAACTGTAGTATGTCGAACCACGGGACTGAATGTTTCGTCATAATCTAGACCATATTCTTGACTAAACCCTTGTGCTACAAGCCTGGCCTTATATCGAGAAATAGTACCATCTGCATTCTTTTTAACTTTAAAAATTCACTTGTACCCAACAATGTTTGTATGAGAAGGAGGAGGAACTAAAGTCCAGGTGCCTTGTTGGTGAAGGGCTTGAATTTCTTCAGACATGGCGTGTTGCCACTAAGGCTTTCCAAGTGCTGCCTTGAAATGAGCAGGTGTATCAGGCTCAGTGATAGAATGAAGCTGAGTAGTAAAGCTCGAGTACTCAGGAAATTGCCTATGCTGGATAATGCCAGACTTAGACCGAGTCTGCATAGGATGACAATTATTGGGACTAGCTGATACTGAATGAGCACACTCATAAGAATCAGATATATGAGGTAATATGACTTCCAGTTGATCAGCAGAGATGATTGGCAGCATATTGTTATCAGATGTTGTGGCACCAACAGATGATGTAGAATCAAAAATGGTAGGAGAGAGCCTAGGTGAGGAAGTAGAATGCATGCTAGGACTGAGTAAAGACTGAACCGCAGGAGAAGAGGATGGTGGTGATGGCATAATGACAGGGACCGGTGACATACCAGATGGAGAGGCAAGAGAAGATTGTGATATAGATGGGGTAGCCAAATAATATCGGTGAGCCTTGAAGGGAAACACATCTTCATTGTAGACTACATGTCTAGAAATTAGAACTTTCTGGTTTTGAGGGTTGTAACAATAAACTCCTTTATATCCCATTGAGAACCCCAAAAAGACACACTGCTGGGAGCGAGGTTCAAGCTTATGTGCACTGTATGGTCTGAGCAAAGGATAAATTGTTGAACCAAATATTTTAATAGAGAGAAAATCTGGTAATGTACCATAGAGCTTGGAATATGGAGATTGCATGTGTAGAGTGCGACTTGTCATTCTATTGATTAAGAATGTGGCATGTGTAGCAGCATAATACCAAAATTGAAGAGGAAGACTGGCTGTAGTTAA